CCTCCTCCCAGTGCAGCCTGCTGTACCGTACCGGCAGGAGGCGCATCTCAGAGTGCGGGGAGCAGAAGTGCTATGTAGAGGTGCGGCTGGGCGGCACAGTCCTTGGAGCCCTGGGCTGGGTGCAATCCACGACAGCATGCGGCACGGCTCCAGCCATCCCAATCGGGGCGCCGGTGTCGCCCCAACTGGACACAGCCACTTGCCAGCAGAGTGAGTTCTGCTGTGCCGGGCTTGCGTGGCTGGCTGGTTAGCGTGGCTGGCTGGCCAAGGGAAGCGGAGGAGCTGTCGGCTCCGCGCCTGCAGCACCAGCATGGGGCGGCGCCATGCACTGCAGCAACAAGTCTGGTGCCTAGCCAGAACCTTGCATTGCCTTGACCTGCCTTTTCTTGCCTGCCACGGCAACCCTGCTCGCTCGCCGCTCGCCACCTGCCCGCAGAATGCTCCCTGGGCAGCACGTGCAAGACCGACACCAGCGCAGCCAGCACCGGGCTGCGCCAGATCGTGAGCTCTGCCTCCATCGCCCTCCGCTCACAGCCCTGCCTGACGGGCACCCAAGACCCCGCGCTTCCCAGCCTGGCCAAGTGCAGCTGGGTGAGAGTCACGGGGCGGCGTCGGGTCAGCAACTGCGGGGAGAGCTGGTGCTATGCAGAAGTCGAGACGCTCACCGGCACAGCCGGCTGGGCGCGCGTGAGCAATAACTGCTCAGCCGCCGCCGCGGCCGCCAACCAGCTCAGGCTGCAGCCTGCCGCCTTACCACAGCTGGACACCGCAACCTGCGCCAGCAGTAAGTTGCCGCTGGGCTTGCGCACGCTCGCCTGCTCACCTTGTCCGTGCCGCCTGCCATCACCTGTTGTTGCCTGTCGGACTGCTGGCAAGTGTTCAGCACGTGAATGCCTATCTCCCATCATGCTCCCAGCAGCTGCATGCCCCGCACCGCCATCTCACCTTGTCCTCCCGCTCTCCCCCCCGCCTCCTGCTTGTCTGCCCCTTGCTGCAGCCTGCCCCAGCTGTACTGTCACCACTCTCCCCACCAGCGACAGCAAGCTGCGCCTCGTCAACACAACCGCCAGCCTCATTGCCTACAAGGGCGCCTGCGCCAGCGTTGCCCGGGCCGGGACCACCCTGGATGCAACAGCGATCTTCACAGTGGACAAGCAGACCTGCATCAAGGTGACGGGCAGGCGGCGGCTGAGCAGCTGCGGAGAGGCATCCACATGCTACGTTGAAGTGTTCAAGCCCGGCTCCACCACTGCAAAGGGCTGGATCCGATACAGCCGGTGCGGCAACGGCGGGGTCACGCTGAGGACGCTGGCAGAGTCAGCCACGTGTCTAACTAGTGGAACTGGCTGAGGCCTGCTGTCAGGGCTTGGATGGTGGCAGCAAATGTGGGGATCCGTCCTGACCTCTGCTCAAGCTCCCATGCCGTCCTTTGTTCCATGTAAAGGTAAAGGTGGGGAAGAGCCTCCACAAGCTTCACTTCCCGGTTTTAACGTCTAGCTTTAGACCATTATTTGATCTGCCCGACGCGCCAAGTGCAGTACCCCCCACTAGTAGTGAATGGGTCCCGGGGAGGCCTGTGCCGAAGTTTTGGCGATTCTATTAGGCGTTCCCGAAGGAATTGGCTTGGATTGGCGCTGAGCCGGTCAGCTATGCCGCGTTTGTCCTCACAAAGTTTCGACATGGGAGGAATCGAACCTGTGCCCTCTCGGAGGGTTTAGACACTAGCTCCAGCGCCTTCAAAGAAGGCCTTTCTTAGCCGCGGCCTAAAAGGTAAAGGTGGGGAAGAGCCTCCACAGGCTTAACTTCCCGGTTTTAACGTCTAGCTTTAGACCATTATTTGATCTGCCCGACGCGCCAAGTGCAGTACCCCTCACTAGTAGTGAATGGGTCCCGGGGAGGCCTGTGCCGAAGCCTTGGCGATTCTATTAGGCGTTCCCGAAGGAATTGGCTTGGATTGGCGCTGAGCCGGTCAGCTATGCCGCGCTTGTCCTCACAAAGTTTCGACATGGGAGGAATCGAACCTGTGCCCTCTCGGAGGGTTTAGACACTAGCTCCAGCGCCTTCAAAGAAGGCCTTTCTTAGCCGCGGCCTCAAAGGTAAAGGTGGGGAAGAGCCTCCACAAGCTTCACTTCCCGGTTTTAACGTCTAGCTTTAGACCATTATTTGATCTGCCCGACGCGCCAAGTGCAGTACCCCCCACTAGTAGTGAATGGGTCCCGGGGAGGCCTGTGCCGAAGCCTTGGCGATTCTATTAGGCGTTCCCGAAGGAATTGGCTTGGATTGGCGCTGAGCCGGTCAGCTATGCCGCGCTTGTCCTCACAAAGTTTCGACATGGGAGGAATCGAACCTGTGCCCTCTCGGAGGGTTTAGACACTAGCTCCAGCGCCTTCAAAGAAGGCCTTTCTTAGCCGCGGCCTATGTGCTTTTCTTTGGCCATTTTTTGTCAGACTTCCTTGGCGCCATGTTGAGGACGCCTATTTTTGACCTCACGTCACGGCTTCTGCGTCCCCCTCATTTTGTGTGTTCATCTGACGTCTGTCTTATCTAGCGATCTCTTGCAAAAGGTTGCCCTGGCACCGCACGGCTCTGCCCCGACACATCTCTCCGCCCACCAGCAGAGAGGGGACCGCGGCTGTACTGACGGCTTGACTGCAAGCACCGCCCGGCCGAGCCGCTCCTCCCGGCTGCTGCTTCTGCCCCACCTGCCTGCCCAGGAGAACACTATACTCTAGCTCAATCAACTGAGCGGGTGAACATCATGGAGTAGATGTGCCTGCCTAACTTGCAACCCGTGGTAGCTACTCACACAAACAGTCCAGACAGCCGCCTTGCGCGATTGCCGCAGTGCAAGACCGGGTCATGCCAAAGCTTCATAGCACTGCAAACTGGCACCCATGTACCACTGCTGTAAGAACAAGATGCAAACTAGAGGGCGGCAGCGCAGGACAGGCTCACCCCGCCTGTGGCAGCGGCTCACCACAGCGCGCGTAGCGGCGCCTCCCAGGAAGTGCTAAAGTCCCGATGGCTGAGCCCGGCTGCTATATGGTCACAAATGGCATCTCTATCCTGCCTCGCCAAGGCCTGCCCCGCCGGTAAATGGGGCGCACAGGCGGCTGGCGCACCGGGGTGCCGTGCCAGGCCTCCGCTTGCTGGCAGCCATCCCAGTGCAAGGAGGCGACGCAGATCGGCGGGCAGGCTCCAGCCTTGCGCGGCAGGTAGGGCTGCGCTGCCGCCGCCCTGGCGCCGCTGCTGCCGCCGCCACTGCCTGCTGCCCCTCCTGCCTGCCGGCCGTCCTATGGCCACGCCCCACTTTTGCATGCAGCTGCTGGGGATGCAGCATGGGAGGGAGACGTGTGCCGCTACCGCAAGACCCACCAGCACACGGTAGATGCCCCGGCCGGGGCGCCGCCCATCGTGCTGCTGCCCGGGTTTGGGAACAACACTCTGGACTACACAGCTCCCTTTGGGGACGAGGAGGCCGGCATTGCTGCGGCTCTTCAGGTGAGGGCGCTCGCGGCATCGACAAAGCGGCTTGCACCCAGCATCCTTCCCAAGCCACCCCCGCCAGACATGCCGCCTTCCGCCTGTCCGTACCGCACGCTGAGCTGCCGCCAACACGCTTTGCTCGCCGCGCCTCTGCGCCCCCCAACACCCACACACGCACACACACCACCACCACCAGCATCACGCCCACATACACACACACCCTACCCTTGCTCCTGCCACGGCCCTGTCGCAGCGGCGGGGGTTCCGCGTCTATGTGCTGCCGCTCACTCGCCAGGACTGGTTCAAGGTGGGGCGCTCCATCTTCACCCTCGGCTTCTGGGCCAGCCCGCCCACCCTCACAACACACCCTGGCTACACGTGGTGAGAGCCCGTGCCGGCAGGCCTGGTTGCCAGGGCTGCTCTCGGCTTCCTTCTGCGTGTGTGTGCACAGCAGCCGCCTGCTGCACTGCCCTGCTCCCCAGGTTCCCCCTCCATGCATGAGCCACTACAGCCTGCCTGCAGGTACCTTGAGCGGGTGAAAGATTTGGTGGATCGGGCACGGATGGAGACCGGCGCGGAGCAAGTCGACCTGCTGGCACACAGCGGTGGGTAGCGCAAGGCGCCGTTTCTTGGTCGATGTGTTCCTGCATGCCAGCTGTCTGTGCTTGCCCGCCTGCCGAGCTGGCTTGCATGCGCACCCGCTTACGCCGCGGCTCTGCTGTGCTGGCTTGCAGCCGGCGGCTGGCTGGGGCGGGCCTTCATCGGGCAGGAGCAGTACAAGGACGGCGCCAGCCTCTCGGCCGACACGCTGGGCAGCGGCGACCTGGAACCGCACCCCGCCGTGCGTGCCCTGGTCACGCTGGGCACGCCGCACTCTGCGCCGCCGCCGGACAAGGTGCGGCGCCTCTGGCTGCTGCTGCGTGGCATCATGCATGCGTGCGTCACACAAGGGCGGGCGGATCCTGAGCGCACGTGGGGAGAGCCTTCTGATGTCAACAGGCACATGGAGATCTGGCTCTCTGTCCGTGGAGTCGGTGGCATCAGCAGCCCTTTACAGAAAGACTCCTGAACCGCAGATCAAGGACATGACTGGCGGGGCGCTGACCTGGACCAACTCCATGTGGCCCGGCGCTTTCTTCGCGGACCAAGGCGTCAAGTATGTGTGTGTGGCGGGGCGCGCGGTGCGAGGCAACAAGGAGGCCGACCGGCGCACGCTCAGGTGTGGGTTGGTCGGGCTGGCAGGCCGATTGGCTGGCTGGAGCGAGGTTTGGCTTGGGCCGCGGGGAGACTGGCCCCTCCTCACACATGCCACCACCACCGCCACCACTCACATACGCACCTCCACCCCTTCCTTCCTTCCTTCCTTCCTTCCTTCCTTCCTTCCTTCCTTCCTTCCTTCCTTCCTTCCTTCCTTCCTTCCTTCCTTCCTTCCTTCCTTCCGCATGCCGGCCTGCAGCGGGTACAGCCACGGCTCGTACGAGCAGGTGTGCGGCGAGGGCCACGAGGTGGAGGGGGATGCGGTGGTGCCGCTGTGCAGCGCGCTGCTGGACGGGGCGGAGCATGTGGTGCTGGATGGCGTGTTCCACAGGCAAGCCGAGCGCATGCCGCCAGCTCAGCCTGCTGCGATGCCCCCCCGCAAGACCTTTGCCTGAGCAGGTGCCAGTGTGTGCGCTTGGGAAAGTAGGGAGCGGGAGTCAAAGATCGACGAAGGGCAGCCACACCATGCCTGGTTTGATTCCCTCCCTGCGCTGCAGCATGAGCCGCATCCGCACCTTCAACGAGCCAGCGGATGTGCCCTGGTATGGGAGTGAAGCTGTGCTGGACGCGTGGCTGCACCACCTGGCCTGATGGCCCTCTGCAAACACCACAGCTGCCTATAGGCCCCACCTGCTTCAGTGCACCCCACTGTCTTCCCGTTCACCTCTGATGCTTGCTTGTCTGCTCTTCAGACTCTGCATCTGCCCCTGATATGGCCCAGGCAGGCCATGCATGCAATGTGCCTGCATTCAGGCGCGTCTATTCCTCCGTCACTGTGATGATATCCGTTGCGCCGGGGTTTCTTTGCTAGCATTGATTACTGCTCTCAGATGGATTGTATGTACGGTACTGATTTGTGAGGAAGCACATCAGACAACGAGTGGTACAGGACCCAATCAACAGGAGTGGGGCGTGCAAATGCGCGAGCGACAAGAGAGGATTGGTTCAAGCAAGAGGTGATCATATTCAGTGGAGTCCATTGGAGCGAGCGTGTTGTACAATTCTGAAGAGGGGCGGGTGCACGGCAGTCGGGTTTCAGTTTGGCAAAGGGCAGGTGAACCGAGGGAAAAAGCTGAAGGCGGTTTGAGATGTGGAAACAAGACGGTGTGTTGAAACAGGGATAGAGAGCGCACCGGCTCACATCTTGAACAGGTTCTGACTGATTGGCTGGACGCTCTCCGTCATCCAGCAGCCCTGGCAGCCCTCGTCCTGCTGCAGCCGCAGCGTCCAGCTGTACACTGCCCCCTGAGTGACACCCAGCTCGGCAGTGGGGATGTTGGAACGCACTCCTGCAAGGCATGGCAGCGGCAGGCAGCTCCAACGAGATGTGAAAACCAAACTGTGGGCGCCCTGGGGCGCTGGACGCACCGCCAGCAGGAAAGGCTGGGCGTGCAGACGCCAAGCATGCCGTTGTATACTGTCCTGCTGCTGATGCTCGCCGCCGGCGCACTCGCTTGCACGCCCCCCCACTCACCCACAATCAGCAGCGTCAGGTCTGGCTGCATCTGCACGGTGCGCAGCAGGTCTGCCGACAGGTGGCGCAGCAGCGGGCGGTACAGCGGCGCCTGCAGCATCTGCGCAAAGCGCTCCACGGGCCCCGTGGCGCGCCGGTTGCCGGGGCTGGCAAAGCGGAAGATGCGGCCGGCGCCCCCTTCCTGCAGCGCCGCCAGCTGGGCTTGGACCACGGCCTCGGGTCCCCAGCACGGCTCGGGCTTGGCGGGGAGGTCCCCGGGGTGTGCAGGCTCGCCCGTGATGCCCTTGAGGAACCACCGCTTCACCACCTGCAGCGCAGAGCGGCGGCGGCGCATGTGGCAGCGCCCAGACTGCAAGTCGGCGCCTTTGGCTTCGCTCAGCTACTGGCCGGCTGGTGCCGCGCGTCCATGGCTGGGCTGATGTGCAGCAGCAAGGCAGAGGCTGACGCACAGCAGCAAGGTGGCAGGCCGGATCTAGGCCTCACCTGCAGGCCTCGGTACTTGGGAACCAGCGCCTCCTCCAGCTGCATGTCGAACGTTAGCATCATCTCCTCCCCTGCAGAACAGCCAGACATCAGGCCAGGCAGTCAGCCCGAACCGCACTCGTCAGCACACAGTACAGCAGCGAGCAGCCAGGCAGCAGGCAGCACCACAACTTGCAACCTTGGCGCCCAGGGGCCACGGGGCCACGCGCACACACACGCGGCCAGGGCATGCCGCCGCAGCACCCGCACCCGACTGCGTGGCGACCTCGTACCGCTGCAGAAACCGGTCGGGCGCCAGCTTGAGGCTGCTGAGCGCCGTGGCTGACCTGGGTGCGGCGTTGAGCACCCCCCGAGCGCTATAGGCATCCAGGACCAGGTCTGACGGCTGCGCCAGTGCCACCAGCTCGTCAAACGACAGAGACTGGCCCGGGTCATCCTGCTGCTGCGTGATGGCCGCCTCCCCGGCCTGCTCCTTGCTGCGGGGATGCAGACATGGGCGGGCACATTCGGGTGAGGGTACATGGAGCAAAGCGGATTCCCAGCAGCAGTAATCCTGACGGCAGCGGAGGACACCCCCCTCAGGAGATTAAGAAATCGGCAGGCAGCAACAGCCGCTCACAGCTTTGCGGCCTTGCGCTCCAGCAGCCGATCGATCACCGCCTCTGGCAGGTATTCTACCACGCTGTCCAGATCGGAGCTGTGCTGGCGGGCGAGGAAAAGGGCCATGCAGCGCTGCACCGTGGCAAAGGCAGCCTCGGCGCTCTCCTCCTGGCTGGCGGGGCCCGCGCTGTCGCCGCTGCTGCCCTGGCTGCCGGCGCCCGGTGCCGATGCAGCTGACACCCACGATGGCCGCCGCCGCCGGCTGCCATGGCCGCCCGGGCTGCTGCTGCTCGTGCCCGCGCTGGCCGCTGATGCTGCTGCCACCCACAAAGGCCGCCGCAGCTGGCTGGCTGGACTGCCTGAGCTGCTGCCGCCGCAGGCCGCAGCCGCCACTGTCACCAACGGCGCGGCGCCGCGCCGAGAGGTGGTGGGCTGCTGAAAGCGGCCTGCCGCGCCTCGGCTGCATGCTCCGCGTCTCGTTGTGCAAGCCGCAGCGCGGCAGGGGTTCAGGGCAGCGTGTTTTTGTGGGGTTGTCATCTCTTGGCGAAACCCCAGGTGCTGGAACACTACTTGTGATCGACTTTTGAATTGGAGCTCTCCATACAGCAGCGACACGGGCCACAGAGCTTCAAAACAGCGCCCCCAGCAATACTTCCGTTCCCGGTACAGACATTGGTGGGAGAAATGCCTTTGGGGCCTGTTGCCCATCGACTCTCCGTGCATCAAGACCTCACCAGTGAGCCTGCAGGCGAGTTCAGGCCACCCTCCTTGCCATCGATCAGCCGATCACCACTGTTCGCGCCTCCCCTGCGCTTGGACTTGCCCCTGCAGCCGCCGCAGATGCTGCGCACAGCATGCAATCGCTCCCCGATGCGGGCAGCGCTCCCCTCTCCACCCGCTGCCGCCACCCGCCGCAGTTCACCGCTCGCCTCCTGCCCTGTGCGCTTTGATGTGCAGCCCTCCCCAACCGTGCGTCCCTGCCATGGAGGAGGTGCAGCGCCAGCTGAGCGATGTGCGCGACCAGCTGGGCGGGGCGCTGGAGTTTGTGATGGATGATCTGCGCCAGAAGTGGCGGGAGCTGAGCGGCGGCCCCTCGGTCAGCGAGGGCCTCAAGCAGTTCTTTCATGCAGTTGACTGGTCGGTGAGTGGCAGCTGCCGCACGCTGGGGGTCAATCTCCCGTGCCACTAGGGGCGGGCCCAAGGCTGGCGTTCGGTAAACCCTAAACCCTAAACCGGACCCCCCTGGCCTGCAGGAGCGGTGGATCCAGGGTCTGATGGCCTTCCACCTGCTGCTGCTCATCCTGGTACTGCTGTACCGCCGCTTCCCCGTGGTGCACGCTGCCATCTTCCTGGGCACGAGTGAGCGCCTGTGCCGCCGGCTGCTGCCCCTCATGCTGGCTGCCGCTGGCCGCTGGCTGCCGCTGCTGTCACTCCTGGGAGCGCCCTCTGTGTTCCCTGTGTGCCTCCTCAGCGCTGCTGCTGCTGCGAATACAGCTGCTGGCTTGGCCCCTGCATGAGCGAGCGAGGTGTGGCGGTGCTCACAGTCCCCACCTCCCATCTGTCTACCCCTGCAGTGCCGCTCATCTACTTTGCGGAGCGCATCAACGGCCTGGCGGCGCGCCATTGGCGCAGCTTCGCCAAGCAGAACTATTTTGATTCGCAGGTGGGCCTGGGCAGGGCTGCCTCTCGACACGCCTGTTGCTGTCGCCTTGTTCCTCAACGGCCGCCCCTGCTGCAGGGGATCTTCACGTCTGCCATGCTGTCGGCGCCGCTCCTGCTCATCATGTTTGTCATCCTGGTGTGTGACTGCGTGCCTGCCTGCCTGCCTGCCTGCGTGCTGCTGCGGAGTCGTCGGTGCATGTGGGCTGCCCTTCCCTGCCTGGGTTGCTGCCTGCACACGAGCAGGGTGTGTGTACAGCTGTGCCACTCCTCAATGCACAGCTGTACTGCCTGACTGCAGGTCAACTACCTCGTGTCTACCTCTGTGCTGCTGGTGAAGATGAAGAGGAAAGAGCTGGAGGTCAAGGCACGGCAGCAGCACCGCGCCGCTGCTGCGGCAGGCGGCGGCGGCTCCCAGACCGCGGGGCAGGGCGCCAAGCAGGCGGCGGCTGCAGGCGGCGCGACGGATGCCAAAAAGGAGCGCTGATCGCGCTGCAGCAGCAGGGGTGGCGGGCCAGGCGGCAGCTTGCCGCCGCGCCAGCCTTTCGGGCGCACTTTTGCAGTAACAATCACCGGTGCAGCCCTGGAGTCTGTGCAATTGTTCTGTATGCAATCCAGCGTGAGGAGAGGGCACAGGCAGGCTTGGCAGTGGGGAGCCAAATCCTCCGTGGCGCACCGCACGCACGGCGCGCTTTGCATGGCCAATCGGGATGAGTTCGACCACTGGCGCGGCGTTGTATTTCGTCGAATCGGATATCATCGACACCTTCTGACTGCAGCTGCGTGAAGCAGGCAAACCCGTTGGGTTTTCGGCACATGGCGTTGGCTCTCCGCCTCGCACAACGCGCATTCATTCTATCCAGGAGCGGCACAGCAGCCGCAGGGAAGCAGCTAGATCGATCCGCCGCCGCCGCGGTCGGCGCCTACCTCCGAAGCAGCATGAGGACGGCGGCAGCCGGCGGCGGCCGCGGCGTGGCCGACCAGGCGCACCCGCCGCCGCCGGCACCCGCGGCGGGAGCGGTGGTGCTGCCGGAGGCAGAGCCGGAGGTGCAGCAGGCAGGCAAGGTGCACGTCTATCCAGACGAGCCTCGAGTGGGCGTGGGGGTGGTCGTACTGCGGCAGCTGCCCCCCGACCGGCAGCCGGAGGTGCTGCTCATTCGCCGCGCCAAGGAGCCCGCCAAAGGTACGCTGTGCTGTGGGATCTGGGGCATGCAGCGCATGCCTGTGCAGTACTTGCTGCAGCTCATTGCCTGCGAGTGATGCGCAGCATCCCGCCTGTACCACCGGCTACTCGCCGCCGACAGCACACCCCATACGCCTGCAGGCCTCTGGTGCTTCCCCGGGGGCAGCCTGGAGCTGGGTGAGACGCTGGTGGACTGCGCGGTGCGGGAGACGCTGGAGGAGACGGGGCTGCGCCTCAGGAGCGCGCCCATCCCCGAAGGTGAGCAAGCGAACCACCGTCACGCTTGGCCACTGTTTCAAGACAGCCGCTCACCTGCCGACACCAGCTTCACCTGGGCCTGCCATGGGGGCGCTCTGCGCACCTCCGCCCCAGCCGCTACCTGCCGCAACCAGTACGCGCAGTCCTGTGCACACACGCCCTCCTGCAGTATCCACACCAGTATCTACACCAGTATCCACAGTTATATCAGTACCATGTGCCCCCTCCTGCAGGCGAGCTGTACAGCGACTGCCTAGACTTCCCCTCCCCAATCGCCGCCGCCGACTCGCTGACGCGCGACGACGGCGGCCGCCTGCTCTACCACTACGCCATTATCAACCTGGCCGCAGTGCCCGAGGTGGGTGCTGGGGCGCTGCGGGGCGGCACGGGAGCGGCTGGGAGGAGCCGGGTGGAAGCTGGTCGGGCCGGGCTCGCTGCCGGCTGCCGGTGGGGCCCCGTGTGGGGCAGTGCCCTTGTGGCTGGGTGTGATGTGGCATGCAGCCCACCCCCCGGCACCTGCCTGCCGCCCGCTGCAGGACCCGCACCAGGCGCCGGAGCCTGCCGACGACGTGGATGGCGCTCAGTGGTTCCCCGTCTCCCAGTTGCGTGGCCTGCCAGGTGCGCCGCGGCCCTGCTGCCTGGCGCTAGCCCTGGCCCTGGCGCTGCTGCCTGCTTCCGCACGGGGTGCGGCAGCTCAGGGAGCGGCGGCCGGCCTGCATGCGGCCATGGCAAGCTTGCGGCCGTGGCAAGCTTGCGGCCGTAGCAAGCAGCGCTGCCAGCGCCCTGCTGCAGATTTGGTGGTACATTGCGACCGCGTGGCGGAGCGGGCGGTGAAGCATTACGCCATCCGGCACTGAGGTGCCTGCCTGGCCAGCCTGCGCTACATGCGGGGGGCACCCCTTGTTGCTGTTGTTGTGTACAGTACCCGTGCCTACCTGCTCAGCCACCATTCTCGGCTCGCACTTGCAGCACTGCTCCTCCTCTCACTTGCTTCTACCCCCATGCCCCAACTTTGCCTGCCACGGCTGCATCGTGTGTTCAGGCGATGCATCTGTGTATACAGCCAGGTAAATCCAGTCAAGGCAAGTGATGAAGCAAGGCAGGCGGGCAGCTTAGTGCAGTGGAAACAAGCGCAGTGAGGTCAGGGGCGAGGGCAGCGGCAAGGGGTGGGTGATGAAATGGCAGGTACAGTCGCTGTCGCTCTCAAGGGGGCAGAACAGCAAGCGCTGTGCATGCTGTGCACGTTGCGCAAGCTGCGCTGATCGATGGCAAGGATTGGCAAGGTTGGCAAGGGTTTTTGATGGCTTGGGCCGCATTGTGCCAAGCGAGGTGCTCACACTGAGGGTGCTCACACTGCCCTCAGGTGCTCACACTGCTGAGGTGGAGGCGCTGTGGTCCTCATACCCCAGCACAGGCTCCTGGCTGTCTGTGCGGCGGTGCGCCGGCGCGGTGCGCGACCCCATGCGCCGCGGCAGGTCGGCGATCGCGCTCCACGCCTGCTGCATGGGGCTGCCTGGGTCGCTGGCCCCGGTGGAAAGCACCGGCGCGGAGCCGGGCCGGGCCGCCATCTCCACATCCACATCCTCCCCGCCATGCAGCCTCGCCGCTGGCGCCACCTCGTGCGCCTGGCCCTGCCACGAATCTGTCGCCTTCCTGCTGCTCCCCAGGCTGCCTGCCCCGTTGGCCGCGGCCGCGGCGCCGCCCGTCAGTGCCGCCGCCACGCGCGGCGCGGGGTGCGGCAGCAGGCTGACCAGGCGCCGGTTGTCGGCGGTGGCGATGTCGTAGCGCCGGTAGGTCCAGGTGCGGAAGAAGTGGAAGGCAACCAGCGGGACCACATAGCAGGCCACGGTGACGTCGACAGTGTAGCTGCAGGGGCAGCAGGGGGGCGGGAGGCGGGCGGGCTGGTGAGCGGCGGGCAGGCTGGCGTGGGAAGGGGCCCAGACGAGGGGGACGGGGTTTAGGGTTTAATCCCAGGGGCGAGCGGGAGCGGCACGAGGGGCGCCCGGCGACCTCCCGCCGCCAGCAGGTGCCGCCGCCGAGCCCGCCCCACACCACACACGCCCCGCGGCGCTCACTGCTTGCGGCTGGCGATGATGCACAGGGCTGTGGCGGCTGCGTAGGCAAAGGCATAGAGCTTGAAGGCCAGGTACCGCCCCATGTAGCAGTAGAACCAGGCAAAGGTGAGGAGGAAGGTGAGGTGGGAGGAGAAGATGAGGTCGCCGCAGCCCTTGCTGGCCTGGCGCCCCACATTCACGATGATCACCCGCCACCACTGCGGGCAGGAAGACGGAGAGGCAGAGAGGCAGGAGAGGCCGTGGGCAGGGGAGGGGTCGGCAGGAGAGGGCGGTGGGCTGGGATGCGAATTGCCGGGTGGGCTGTACGACCCCTGGCCAGTCAGAGGCATCTCCTCCCCTCCCCTGGCCCTCCTGCACCCCTGCCCAGCCCACCCCTTCTCCCCCAGCGCACCACGGGCCACAGCACGTTGGAGGTGGGCTCGGGGGCGCGGCAGTGGGGTGCGGGGGCGGGCAGCTGGGTGGACAGGAAGGACAGGATGCGCAGGACTTGGCACGACACCAGCACCACCAGCACCCGCTTCAGCACCACAGACGCGCTGAAGGTCTTGCGCCGCGTCACAAAGGGGCTCAGCAGCCAGAGGAAGAACTGCGCAAAGCCTGCGGCACGCCAGGAGGCGTGCCGGGGCGGCGGCTGTGAGCGGCAGCGGCGGGGCGCCAGCCGGCAGGCCGCAGCGGGGCACTGCCTGCACGAGAGCTGCATGGCCAGGTGCCAGGCAGGCAGGCAGGCAGGCAGGCAGGTGCCCGCGCCCTGCATACCGCGCCACACCACACCACTAGACCCCCACAAAGGCTCTCCTGCGAGTACAACAGCACCTCACCGCAGTACATAAGCACCGCAGTACAGCAGCACAACAGTACAGCAGCGCCTCACCGCAGTACACCAGCACCTCCGACACCGCATCCACATCTAGGTAGGGCAGCGCCTCGAACCCCAGGTCGTGCAGCGTGGTGTCGGGCTCCGGCAGCGGCTCGTGCATGTAGTCTGCGGGTCAACAGAGGCAGCGGGGCAGAGGTGGTGGGTGCAGGTGGGTAGGTGGTGGGTGCAGGGGAGGAGGAGGTGGTGGGTGCAGGCAAGAGACATCGCAACTTGCAGCAGCGGCAGCGACTGTGCATGCAGTTTGCCGGTCAACAGAGGCACGGTTGCATCCGACTGTCGGGTGCAGAGGCAGCGCAGCACCACACGGCAGCAGCTCGTGCGGCAGGGGGGGCATGCACAGCAGCCGCGGCGCAGGCGGCGCGCTGTCTGCGCCGCTGCTGCGAGGCTGCCGGCTGCTCGCAGCCTGCTCACATGCCATGCCGGTGAATATGGCGTGGATGTATTGGAAGACGAGGCAGGGGATGATCACCCACAGGCGCGGCTTCAGCAGGGGCCAGTCGGCTTTCAGCTCGGCCACAAAGCGGCGCCACAGCATGCGGCAGTGGAAGCCCAGCCTGCGGAACCAGCCTGCGGGCGAGCGGCCGGTGATCAAGGAGAGAGAGGCAGGTGGTGTGCGCTTGCAGCGTGCTTTGAGCTGCAGAGAGGGTGGCCGAGGCGGGAACAGGCGACGGCGGTGGGGTGGCAGCACAAGCCGCCGGTGGTGCCGGCGGCAGCGCACCGTGCGGCGGCTGCTCGGCTACGCCTAGGTCCAGGGCTCCGCTGCTAAGCAGCTGTTGACCAAACGAGTTGTCACGGCCTGGCAGCCACGTCTGGGGCTCGAGCCATTCAAGCAACGCTCGCCACGCTTTCCTCATGCTCCGTCACGCACACCGTCTCGAATACCAATAAGGGCAGCGCAGACACCAGCGAAGGTGATGGCGGACCGGCGGCTGGAGGCTGAAGGCAGCTGAAGAGACAACTGGGTAGAATGCGTGCTACAGGGCTGCCAGAGTGCGGAGTGAACCGCTAGGAGAGCGAAAAATGGATGGCCGCAAACGTTGAAGAAGGATGAGCACATGCATCAGCTGGCGACAGCACGCATGAATCCGGCGCCGCATCCGCTCAAACGCCCAGCCCTGCTCGCAGCAGCTGGGCTGCATGCAGGGCCACCGCGTAATCATACAGCCGCATGTCGAGCTGGTTCCGCTGCCGCAGGCGCTGCAGCAGCTGGGGCGGCAGCTCGGCGGTGGCATTGCTGTCGTGACGCGACCCCGCACGTGCCGCCTCCCACCCGACCTCCCGCCACCCAAACAGGCGCTGCATCAGAGCCATGCTGCTGCGTGGTGCCTCCAGCAGAAGCACGGCTGCAAAGTAGTGCAGGCGGCGCTTCGCCAGCAGGAGGTCAGCTTCGGTCAGCTTGCGGCGCTGGTACAGAGCGGTACGTCCCACCAGCTCACGAGTCATCCAGTTGGCGGGGTAAGCCTCCAGCCACTGCTCCAGCGAGGCGCTGGCGGGCGCAGAGTAAGCGCGGCACTCAGCTGCACACCAGCGCGGTTTGCGGGAGAGGTGAGAAGTGGGGCTGGGAGCTTGGGGGACACCACCCAGCATGCCAACGACACAGTGGGGCAGGATCGATGCAGCCCATGCCCCACCAGCCCCACCTGGCGCCTGCGGCATGCGTTCCACCATGAGCCGCCACCAGCGGTAGCTGGAAAGCACGCGGTCCAGCGGCGAGCGCAGCATGGTGACCCAGGCCATCGGCGCATCCAGCGGCACCGCATCGGGCAGCGGGCCCTCGCTGGCCACAAAGGTGAGCGGGCGGAAGTGGTGGGGCAGGGCGCGCAGCTGCGCGGGCGTGAGGAAGCCCAGCCAGCAGGCAGCGCCCAGCCAGTGGTGCGCGTGCAGCGTGCGCCCACCGTTGCTGCCATCAGCGTGCGCAATGACCCCGCCACCGCGGCTGCCCAAAGCAGGAGCGAGGCCGTCGCCCACAGCAGGGTGAGGACCAAGAAATGCCTCGTACCTGCAACCAGGTAGCAACAGCGAGCAGTGCAGTAGCGTCCGGCAGTATCAGCCTAGCAGCAGAGTTCCCAGGCTTGGGCAGATACCACAACACTGGTAATCAGTGTATCCCAGCAAATAGGCTGCCACGCACTCAGTGCTGCCGGCTGCAGGCTGCCGGGCGACTCACGGCACACAGTTGGTGTCCCAGTCGGTGCGCCCAGGCAGCAGCGCCGACTCTGCCGCCATGTTGCGCTTTGCCAGCTGGCACAGCGTGCTGCCGCCGGCCTGCAGCAGGCAGGGCCATTGCTCCTGAGCCTGAGCACATTACTCCATACGCCGCTCTTCGCAGTTGCTGGTTGGCTGCTCAGCCTGAGAGGAGCTCACCTTGTGTACGTGCTTGAACAGGAGGGTTCCGTTGCCATCACGCACGGCCGCCACCGCTGCGTCTCGCACCGCCTGGACCTTCTGCATGCAGGCTTCGTCGCTCAGCCCCGCCCATCCTGTGGCCGCCATATCCTGCTCCACACACCAGCTGCCGAGCAGCTCGCCTGGCTGCTGTGCCAGGGCCGAGCCGGCAGTACCCGCTGCAGCAGCCAGGTCGGCTCTGCTATGCCCAGCGGAGCCTTCTCTGCTACTTTCATCAGCCGCCGCGAGGGAGGGGGTTCCGCAGGCCGCCTCCTCAAGGTCCTGATAGTACGGGGTGCGCCGCAGCGCCTCACACAGCTCCTGCAGCACCAGCGCCAGCAGCAGCAGCAGCGCCAGCATCAGCAGCAGCCCCCATGCCAGCGAGAGATCACAGGTGGCTCCCTCACTGCCTGCAGTGTGGTCTGCCAGGCCGATGCGCTGCAGCGCCGCCACCGGGCGCCATCCTCCTGCTGCCAGCCAGGTGGTTGCCCTTGCCTGGTAGTTGGACACCCATGCGTGCACCTCGTCAGGCCCCGCCTTGCGATACTTGTCAGACAGGCGCACGTGGGCGCCGGCGTGGGGCGCGCCCACAAACGCCGCCGCCCGCCGCGCCTGGCCCAGGGGGTCTGCCAGGAAGTCTTCATACCAGACGGTGATGGTGGGGCGGCGGCAGGCCGCAGCCGCTTCCCGCAGGGCCGCATTCACGGCGTCGGCATACTCCAGCCAGTCCCGCAGCTTGGTGATGTTTATGGGCAGCTTGGCGCCGTCGGCGAGGCCTCCAGCCTGGAGCAGCGGGCCTGCCTGCCCCTGCTGCCGCCGCCCAGTATGTTGCTGCTGGGTTGGCTGCAGCTCTGCCATGCTGCCTGCGGCAGCTGTCGCCGCCTGCACCGCCGCTGCTGCCGCTGCCGCCTTGCCGCGCCCCGAGAACTGATGGATGCCCAACTCGCGGGCCTTGTACCAGGAAAGGGCCTCCTTGAGCCGGTTGCGCCGCAGCGTCAGCACCACCCTCACATCGTATCGCTCCAGCAGCGCACGCAGGGCCGCCGGGCTCAGCCCGGATGCGGCGGTGTGCATGCGGCTGCCCACGGTGCTGTTGCCGGCGCCGCTGCCGCTGCTGTTGCCGTCGCCGCCAGTGCCGCCATCCAGAATGTAGGGCCGCATCTTGAAGCCCGCCACCGTCTTGCCGGCCAGCTGGGCGAACTGCTGCACCTGCGCGCGGTCGACCCGCTTGCCGCGCAGCAGCTCCTGGCGCCAGGCGCCGAAGCGCGCGGCGTCGGCCGGGAAGGTGAATGCCGCTTCCATGAAGGCGATCTTCTGGGCGGCGGTAAGGCCGGGGTAGTCTAGAGGCTCAAAGCCAGGGATGAAGACTGCTGGGTCAGAGGCCAGGCTGTCCGCCAGCGCACTGGAGCCCTGGTGCCCGCTGCAAGGTGAAAGGGTGGCAGGCAGCACGGTTGCTAGGGAGATGCAGCACGCCCGAGCAGCCTGCTGCGGGAGCCAGCCACAGGCTTCTACCTGAAGAAAATGAGGAAGCGGTGCTCGGGCTGCTGCCGCCTGGCTCCCGTGCCCGCCGCCGGCGAGCGGGAGCGGTCGGAGGCGGAGGCGCCGGCATAGCCGCGCCGCACGTCGGCCTCCACCGGCTGCGTGTCTCCGATGATGCGCCAAGTGGCGAGGCTGGCGAGGGCAGCAGAGAGCAGCAGCAACACGCGGGTCGGGCTCCATGGAGGGTGGCTGCTCGGCTGCCGGGCCTGGTGCCGGGCCATCCTCTTGGGTCTCGGCGAGGGCATTTCATACCGGGATGGAAGGGTGCAATTCAGGCAGGGCAAAGCCACCCTTCGCCCCATGCAGCGCGCTCTTCCACTTCCTCCACTGCCCGAGTCGGGCTGCTGCCATCGTCATCCCTGACGGTTGTTGCCTCTCCCCAGTGCACTGGATCGCCCTCTGCAGCCTGCCTGAGCCCGACGATCGCCATGGCGCCCAAGAAGCGGCCCGCCGATTCAGAAGAGGACAGCGACTATGCGGAGGATGTGGTGTCCAGCGAGGAGAGCGGCAGCGATTACGATGAGGAGGAGGAGAAGCCCAAGCCCAAGCGGAAGGGTGATCCACGACGCCGCCGCTGCTCACAGCCCTGCTGCGAGGTTGCGTCGGCGTTTGGGGCCGTGGGAGGTTGCACCGGGATCAGCGCGCGTACCCATGGCACCGCCTCCCTCGCCGACGGCGATGGTGGCGGCGGTCTGGCGACGGCAGCAAAGTCGGATTCAACCGTGTGGCAGGGCCCACTGCGAGCCCCTGAATCCTTGGCATCCCTGCCTCTGCTGTGGACCACATGCAGTGGCCCCCAAGGCCCCCCCAAAGAAGACTCCCACGCCAGCCAAGAAGAAGAAAGCGGTGGCCGCGGACGAGGCGGGTGGCAGCGGCAGCAAGCCCACGCCCAAGCGGGGCAAGGCCCCCAAGCCGCCCACCGAGGTGACCACCCTGGACGACGGCTGGACCCTGCACCCGCCCTTCTTCATCTACAAGTGAGAGAGGGCACAGCTCGGGGGATGCCCGGGCCCGCTGCGTGCCTGGTCCACACCACCACCCACACCTCCTTGCCACCAGCACCCACACCCCACCACCACCTACACCTCCTTGCCCGCAGGCTGAACCCCGCCGCGCAGGGCGGCGATAAGATTGCGGCATTTGACCTTGACGGCACGCTGGTGGGCACCAAGAGTGGGCGCGACTTTTCACCCACGCCAGGCAAGCCCCCAGAGCCATCTCCTGCACCACCCGCCCTGCTCGTTGGCAGGCGGACCGCTGCGCTTCGCTCGGCGCGGCCGCAGCAGCTTGCCTGGCAGCGCCCTCCTGCCAGTATCCGATGCACTGCCGTTGCCTCAGAACCGAGCGTCTTGCCTCCCCTGTTGCCTCTGCCTCACCCCTCCCTCTGCTGCCCTACCCCATCCACCACAGATGACTGGAAGTGGTTCAACAAGGCGGTGCCCAGCGTGCTGCAGGAGCTGCACGAGGACGGCTACCAGCTGGTGATCTTCAGGTACCGCATGTACCGCTTGCACTGCACGCACATCTGCATGCGCTGCCGCCTGCACCTGCTGTGTGTGCCGCCTGCGCCCCCTGCGTTGACGGCTCCATCTACCCCGCTGCGCTGCTGGGGCATGCCGGCTCGGGCCAAGCCCTGCCGTCCCAAGCCGCTGCAAGCCTGCCAGCCTTCTCCAGCGTCATGCTCCACGCCTTGCCTCCCCTCTCCCCCTGCCCGCTTGCCTCCCCTCTCCCGCTGCCCCTGCCCCTGGCAAATCCCACGCACGCCTGCCTGCTGCCTCCCTCCCTGCCCCTGCCCCCTGCCCCTGCCCGCAGCAACCAGGGCGGCATCAAGGGCGCGCTGTCGGGCAAGGCCAGCGAGAATGTGCGGGGGCGGGTGGACAACGTACTGGCGGCGCTGAGCAAGAAGGCCAAGAAGGAGATACCGGTGCAGGTGGGTTGCGATGTTGTGGTGTGTGTCCTGTCGTGTGTGCGTATTGTGCTTGTGGGAAGGTGTTGTTACCTGGCGTGTCAATCAATCAATCAATTATCAGCCCAACACCGCCCTGCCCCACCGCCTCCGCCCCCGCCTCCGCCCCGCTGCCGCCCCACCCCTGCCCAGGTGTTCATCGCCACAAAGGACGACGAGCACCGCAAGCCCGGCACCGGCATGTGGGACTTCTTCGTCCAGCACGCCAACGCGGGGGTGGCCCCGAGCAAGGCGTGAGTGCGGCGGCGGGCGCGATCCTTGTGGGCGTGCGATCGTGTGGCGTGTGTGTGGCGTGCCTGGGGCGGGGGGTGGGCGGGTGGGAAGGCTGGGACAACACACGGCCGGTGAGGGAAGGGGATGCTGTCCCAGCGACAAACCAAGGCCCGAGGCGCCCCGATCAGGCAGCGCCTCTCTCGGTGAACCATGCGGGGAGCGCCCGCGTCCGTGCGGCGCCGGTCGGACAGTTTCCGCTGCCGAGCGGCTGCACTCAAGCCTCCTCCCTGCCTGCCCTTTGCGTGCTGCCCGGCCCCCTGCAGCGCCAGCTTCTATGTGGGCGACGCGGCGGGGCGCCCCACCGACATCAACAGCGGCGCCAGCTCAGACAAGTGGGTCCCTGCTGCCGTGCGCACCTGTGTTTCACCTGGCTGCGTGGCTGCTCCACCCACGGCTGCTGGTCGCCGCCTGCAGCTGCTGCGCATGGCGCCGCGCAGCACAGCCTTGCCTGTGCCGCCCACGGCTGTGTGTCGCGCCGCCTGCCCCCCGGCTGCCCCCGGCTGCAGGGACTTTGCGGCGGCCATCGGCCTCCAGTTCAGCTTGCCTGAGGATAAGTTCGGGTGCGGGCCCGGCGCCTCCCCGGCAGCTGCCTCCTCAGCAGGCCTGCTGCCCCCCGCGGCAGCGGCTGCGGCCGAGGCAGCGGGTATGCGGCAGCAGCGCCACCGGCCGCAGCGGCGTTGCTTGGCGGCGCCCGCTGCTGCTGCTTGCTGCCGCCGCCGTGCTGGGCGGCGGTGCACGGCGGCAGCGCAGGGACATGCTGCTGCCAGACCCATTCCCCACAGCCAACGCAACCCTGCACCTGTGCGCCACCCATCCTTCGGGGCCCTTGCAGGGAGGGGGAGCTCAAGAAGGGCGTCGCGACCGGGGAGAGCAGCGGCAAGAACACCGCCATGGCCGCGGCCTTTCGCCAGCTGGTCGACCTCTGCAAGGGTGGGGCCCCACGCCGCCTTCCGCAGTACCGTGCCCTGCGGTACCGTCCCACGCAGTGCCGCCCTGCATGGCTCGGGGCGCTGCTTCGCTGCGGTTGCTGTCCCTGCCGCCGAGCAGCCCTGATCCTGCTGGCGACCCCCGTCCCTCCCCGCTGGCGGCCTAGACCCCATGCTGTGCTGCACCTCCACCGTGCCTGCTGCGCTGCCAAGCCCGCAGTCCATGCCAGCCCCTGCCCTGCCGCACCTCCCCGTCCCGTAGGCGAGCCCTTCAAGGCCGGCGCCTTCAAGAAGGTTGCCGACATCATTGACGCACACCCAACGGTCATCACAGTGAGTATGGAGCTGCCTGCCTGCCCGCCAGCCAGCCTGCCTGCATGCATGCATGCATGCATGCATGCGCGGCACCCTGCCCGCCTGCCCACCATGTGTGGCGGGCTGCCAGCCGCCCACCCGCCCTGCCTGCCTGCCTCGGCCTCGGCCTCTGCACCTGCCTGCCTGCAGTCTGCCAAGGACCTCAGCGCCGTCAAGGGCGTGGGCAAGAGCTCCCTGGCAAAGATCACTGAGGTGGGCAGCAGGGTGGGGTGGTGGTGTTGCGTGGTGTGGTGTGGTGTGGGGTGCACGGCGCTGGCTGGCCCGCAGGGGTGGTGGGGTGGGGTGGCGGTTGGTGTCGGGTGGGGTGCCGGGCAATGGCGCGCTGGCCCGGCTGGCCCGCTGGCTGACCCGCTGGTGCCTTGGAGGCGGCTCCCCGGTGCTGCGGTGGCAGCGTTGCTTTCTGCTGGCGAGGGCGTGGGCGGCGTGACCTGCGCCCCTCCGCCCCAGCCTGCACCCTGCAGCACTCGCACTCGGCTGGCGCTGCCCCTGATCCTGGTGTGCCTGCCCGCTGTCCCGCCTGCTGTCCCTGTGGGCCCCACCCCCTGCAGTTCCTTGAGACCGGCACACTTGCAGCTCTTCAGGAGGCTGGCATAGAGGCGGGGGTGACGCGCCTGGACAAGGCTGCAGAGGTGGGGCTCAAGTTCATCTGAGGGGCGCGCTGGCGCCGCGCTGAGCTGGCACCTGCTGAGCTGGCACCCTTGCCGAGTGTGAGCAACTGCCACCAACACATCTGTCGACTGTGGAGGAAGTGCACTTCTTTCTAGGGCCCACCGCGGGTTGTTCCCCTGCCGGGCCAGGCATCCTGCCGCTGGTTGCTGGGAGGATCCCAGTGCAGCGCATGTGAGAGCATCCAGCACCCGCACGAGCAGCGCCTCTGCCTAAATGCATGAGTTTATCTTTCATTCTGATGTACCCCTTTTCACATGAGCGACAGAGGGATTAGATTGTCATGCACAGACACAAGCGGGGCCGGCGTGCTGCGGGAAAGAAGGCAAGGCAGTGTAGCTGATCGATGGCCCGGCTACTTCCCCGCGACCACAAACACTGCCCACCGGTCCTGCCCCTCGTCCACGCTCGTCTCAAAGTCGCACTGCACCGCCACCTCCTCCGGGGTGGGCTCTGCCGCCGATGCCTCGCCGCCGCCGCTGCCGCCGCCGCCGCCGCCGCCGCCGATGCCGTGGCTGGCGACAATGTGCGCCGCGATGCGCGCCCGGCTGGTGACCTCCCGCAGCCGCGGCCAGCCCGCGGCCCGCAGCAGGGCGGCCAGCGCTGGGCGGCGGTCGGCGGCGGGAAACTTGCTGTGCCAGGTGGCGACCAGCTCAGGTGGGAAGGGTGCATAGGTGGCTGCGCCCTGCCCAATCAGCTCGACGAGGTCGGTGGTAGACTGGTGCAGGATGATGCAGCTGCCGGCAGGCGACATGCCTGCAGCGGCAGCCGTGGCGGCGAGGGCGGTCGGCGTGGCAGGGGTGGGGAGCCGGCAGCGGAAACTAAACCGAAGCACAGGTGGCCATGCATGTTGGGTGAGGCCTTTCCAGTGAGCCCGCACCTGCCATCTCCTGAAGCAGCACAGTGGCCTGCTTGGGCGTGAGGTACATGAGCAGCCCCTCCAGCACCCACACCGTGGGCCGCCGCCTGTCCAGCCCCGCCGCCACCAGCTGCGCCGACCACCCCGGCTGGCACAGGTCGCCTGCCAGCCCTGCCCAGGAGGCGGCCCGCAGCGGGTGGGCTGCCGGCTGGGAGGCCTCCAGCCCTGCGCCCAGCTGCTGCAGGAGCTCCCGCTTCGCCGCCGCCACCTGAGGAAGGTCCAGCTCAAACCAGCGCACTCCGGGTGGCAGGCGCAGGCGCCAGGGCCGGGAGTCGTAGCCCGCTCCCAGCACCACCACCTGCCGCGGCTGCTGGCCGGGCCGCGCCGCGGGAGCGGCCAGCGCAGCCGCCAGCTGCTGGTCAAACCAGCACACCCGGGCGGCGACATTGGAGAAGCGGTAGCGGCGCTGCGCTGGCGCGCGCGAGCTTGCTGGCCCCTCGCCCGCTGCTGCCGCGTCCTCGCCCGCTGCCGCCGCCGCCGCCGCGCCGGCGGGCTGCGGGAAGGGCTGCGCCAGCTGCAGCGCCTGGTGCACGGCGTCGCTGCCGGCCAGGGCTGCCGCAAAGGGGTCGACAAACAGTGGGCGGGGCTCGACCGACTCGAGGGCCCGCCATGCTGCAGCAGCAGAGACTCAACACAACTTACGGTGCAGGAGGGGCAGAGGGGACTTCCAGGTAAAATGACAGAGAGGCGGATTTCTTCAGGGTAATAAAATGGCAGATGCATTGCTTAAACCATACTGTAAGCCTCGAAAGCAGGCAAGCAAGCAACTGCAGAGGCAGCCGTGCTGAGGCGGCGCGACGGGCGGCGAGCGGGTAGGCAGCAGGCGGCAGCAGGCGCGTTGTGCGCATCGGTTTCCGACCTGCAATGAGCCGGCCGGATGAGGAGATGGGGTCTGGAGGCGCGCCTCGTTTCCTCCTCAGCACTCTGCCTATGCATACACCCAACCCCAAGGATAGGAGCCCTGTGAGCAGCGCAGCGGCGGTGCTAGGAGCCATCTTGCACAGCAGTGGGCTGCGGTGGGCGCTGTTGACTGATCATGAGGCGGCCCGCCACCGCCCGGCCGCCCGGCGCCCTCAGCGCGCCCCCACCGGGCACTTTGCCTCTGAACCAGATGGCGGCTCGGCCCGCAGCCCGCCGCAATATTCGATCACGTTGTCGGTAAGTGTCGGGTCCAAGTTGAACAGGTGTCGGGGGCGGCGGCCAACTGGCGGCGGCGGCGACAGGTGGCGCACACATCCACTGGCACATATAAAGCACGTTTCGGCAGCGGGTCTATAATTCGACACCCGGCGCTCAGCGGTCCTCACCCCTCAAGAAATCACAAGGCTCTGGCGATCTCAGTGTGAAGGTGTGCCCTGCTGCTGGAACACTGCACATGTCATGCCCATGCGCGGCCCCCCGCCCTTGGCGCGCATGATCCAGCACCCAGCATAGTTGGCTGTGAGCTTTGCGAGGGTATCTAGCCCCTGCAGCGACCGGGCAGCCCCGCCGAGGCGGTACTTTGTGCCCTGGTGGTCGCCCCGCTAGCCAGTGTTTGCTTGCCTCAGTGCCCCGTGCACCCTGGCAGAAGTGCAGGCTGCGCCCCGCGGGGTACTGGCCGCGGGCTCCTGCACGCAATGCCGCCGCGCCCTCGGCCCGCCGCTGACGCCTGCATGACGCCGCTCCCTGCCCTCCCTGCAGGCTCCCCCCACCCGAGCACACCCCCTGGCCACCATGACTAGCCCCCGCGCCCTCGCCCTGGCACTCTGCCTGACGCTGGCCGCCGCCGGCAGCGCCGCCGCGCCTCACCCCATCTTCTCCTGCGCCGACCTGCCGGCCAAATGGGGCAGTGACTCTGGACAATCGGGCCAACGGCCCTGGAACCGACCGTCCAGGCGACCCCAGCGAGAAGTTCTGGTCCGAGGTTACTCCCGCTTCTCCTCCCCGCTACGCCTCCGACCCATCGGCCACCCGCCCCCCGGGCTGTTCCAACTGGACTCCGGACGCCTACGGCTGCCAGCAGGTGGGCCGGGGCCGGTGGGCCAGCGCTGCAGGGCTGCAGGGCGGCCTGCCTGCCTTGCCCTGCCCTGCCCCACAGCTGCATTGCATGCGCGCGCCGCAGCGCGGCAGACCGCTTGCCCGCGCCTGCATGCTCGCCCACCACCTCTGCCGCTCGTCCCCTCACCCCTATGTGCCCCTGCTCCCGCCCCCGCCCTACCTGCAGACCGCCGGCCGGGGCACGAACTATGCCCTCCAGGTCAACTTCACCTGCACCTCCCCCGAGAGCGAGCTCACGCTGGGCATGACGGTGGATGTGAACACCTATGAGCAGTACATCAATGTGAGTAGCTCTACTGCCCTGCCCGCCAACGAGGCTGGAGCCTGCTCTGCCGCAGCCGGCGTGCTGGTGGCTGCCGTTGGATCTGATGACATGATTGTCCCCCGACGCGCCACCCCCTCCTGCTGCCTCCTGCCTTGCTCTGCAGGTCGATGATCTGGATGTTGAATTCCTGGCCGTGAACGGAGATATTGTGATGGGCAACCTGGATGAGCATGAGTGGTATGACGCGAACGACTCGATCTGGGGTGACGTCCACCACCATGATGACCATGATGACGATGATGATGATGACGATGACTTCAACAACGCATCCAGCAGCGTGAGTGGGCTGGGGCGGCTGCATCGGTGTGGAGGCAGGTGGTGCGGGGCGCGGCGCTGGAGGCAGCGGCGGTGCATGGGCGGCTGCTTGCCGGCTGGCTGGCGATGGTTGCAGTTCGTTCAATGGCTGCCCGCTCACTCCTAGCTTTCATCCCTGCCCTCTGCAGTACTGGCAGAACGTCGGCGCGGGCTTTGCTGCCGCGGGCAAGGCCGCGGGCGAGAAGGCGGCGGCGGCGGGGGAGGCCATCGGCCAGTCGTTCGAGAACATGTTTGGCCGCAAGCTCAAGTGATGCCCTCCTTGGGGATCTGAACTCAAGTGCCACACGCGGGCGGTGTGGGTCATGCGCCGCATTTTGATCGAAGAAGAGAACTGCTCTGGGCCGCCTTGCCTGCCGTGTGGGATCGTGACCGACCACACACACGTTTTGTTTGACAACGCCTTGACCTGCCAGACTCCGTCTTGTTTTCCCACCCTTATTCCCAGCCAAGCCCCACTATCAGCCTCTGCCGTATGCCAGATACAAACACTGATTGCCCACACCCCCTACTCTTCCATGCACCTGCCGCCAACATACTCCTTCTTCTATTCCGATCCAGAACCTTTGACAAACTACGAACTCATGCACATACCCCTTTAAACTCAGCGTCTCATCCTGAAGGATGCAGCATGTCGGCGCAACTGCTTCTCCCTGCTGTGCACGCCGTGGGCGCCGCTCTGGTGCAATGGCGTCAGAAAGCAACTGAACATCGAGGCTCGTTTGTAAAGCCTGCCTGCTCCGGTGAGGTATGATCCATCGGATGCCGCCTCATGTGGGTGCACAGCTCCCAGGCCAGCTGACCATGGTCAAGGCGGCAGCGCTCCGCGCCACCTGGGAGGGAGGGGGCAGTGGTGGGGACGGGGGCGCCTGACCCGCCGGAGGGGTGTGCGCTGTCCACTGCACCTCCTTCAACATTTGTGCACTGTGGAATGGATGCACTTCGGGAGGAAACCTGCCCCGCTCTCATCCAGCTGGCACCCCGCGCCCAGGGGTCACATCGCAGCCCCCTCCGGTAAGCCTGTCGCGATCAGGCTGGTTGTTGCTCTTTGCTTCGTCCATCCAACACTAGGGAAGCAGCCCGGCCCCCTCCGGTAAGCCTTGGGTGTGCACTGATACCATCAGAGCGGGCAGCCTGCCGTTTGCCTGCCGGCCAGGCTCCACGCCGCATGCTTCTGGCACTGTCATGCGAGGGCGGGTGCTGGCTGTCGGGGGGCGGCTGTCGGCTGCACGCGGGGGCTGCTGAGCGTCCCACATGCCACCCTGCCTGCGCCCAGCACAGACCGACAGGGCGTGTCGGGAGCAGGGTGTGGTGATGGGCATGCAAAACCATGTTGGGGGTCGGTGCCTGGTCGCCCACTCCCCACCAGGCCGCGCGCGTCTCTGCCATGGGGTGTCTGCCCCCACACTCTTGTTCGCCCAGCCCGCTCAACCCAATTCCCACGGCACTTGCAGGCTCCTCTCGCCCTCCCTAGCCATGATGTCCCGCGCCCTCGCCCTGGCGGTCTGCCTGGCGGCCGTCGCCGGCGCCGCCGCCCAGACCTTCTCCTGCGCCTCGCTGCCGCCCAACTGGGGCAGCGACCAGGACAACAACGACAACGGGCCCTGGACCGACCTGACCAGCGACCCCAGCGCCGCCGTGATCTCCCAGATCTGGAACACCTTCACTTCCCGCTACGGCTCCAAGGCCATCCCCAACTGGACCACCTGCAGCGCCAGCGAGATGACCAACTCCTCGGTCGGCTGCCAGCAGGTGGGCGCGCCCGCAGCGGCGGCGCGGCGGCTGCATAGTGCCCGGCGCGGCTCTGGGGCGCGGGCGCCTGCCCCGCAACCGCCCCAGCGGGCGCCTCTGCCCACTCCGTGCCGTACCAGCAAGCTGGCTTCGGTGCCTCCCCAGCCGGTAACCTTTCCTGGCCACCCACCAACCGG